ATAAATTAGGGGAAGTTTGAATTTTAAATAATTCAGTTTAATAGGCTAAATTATATAAACTAATTCCTATTCACTAGGAAACATCCCATATCACTGTCCTAAGAAAATGGGTTTCTCAAAAAAATCCACTGCAAAATGGATTTTTATTAGTAGTTAAAAGTTTACTAATCAATTCCTGAGCAACAGCAACCTCATCATCTACTGCTTTCCCCATCCAAGTCCCACTCAGCGAGGGCAGGCTCTCACTCCTAAAAGGTTTAAGTAGAACAGAGACCTAAAAAGTTGGGTTTTAATTGGAAATCGATCACTTCAAAGATTAATAGGTTAAAAAAGCCAAGCAGGATGGATCAACCCATTCCACCTTTTCCTCAATAACTCCAGAGACGAAACCTTCTAAAAAAATGATTTGACTGCACCAGAAAAGCAACCAGATGTACCTCGAGAAAACCAAAGGGTCACAAACCTGAGAACTTCAGGGTTAAGGTCATCAAATTTAGAATTTTAGGATGTGATTTTGTTTTTACACCATAAAAAACTTCCAGGAGCCTCTTCGGGAAGAGGGTCCCAAACAGCARAAGTACTGGAGAATTATTTCCCAATTTTTTTGTCTCAGGTTTAAACCCTGAAGTTCCCARTAACAGCATTTTTCAATGCAATATTCAGTCTAAATAGATATTTATATATTTATAATGTAGAAGGATAAATAATATATGGCACAACAACATTTTGAATCTGGAACTCCAGCTTTTAGTGAAAACCTGATCTGCAAATGGAGCAAAAAATGCAAATGGAGCAAAAAAACAGGAAGAAAAAAAAACATTTTAAAACCAGTAAAACTTCAAATATTCATACACTGACTGCACATCTGTGCTCCCAAAACTCCAATTCTGTGATTTTTCCTCAGTGCTGCAAAGATAGTTCACAAAAACACTGTGTGGTTTCTGTTCCCCAAAAGGATTTGGGGTTCCCAGCCCTGTCCAAGGCCCTCCCCTGCTGCCAGCCCTTGATCCTGTCTGTGCTTTTGGCTCAGGCAAAACAAAAAAAGCAGAATTTCCCACCCCAGGTTAGAGCTGGGCTAACCCCGGGGTGGAGTTACCCAGGACAGGACACACAATCCCCAAGTTTGGATCCAAGGGGGGATTCCAGCACCGGAATGGGGCACACGGGACCTGACCAAGCCAAGCCACCTCAGCACCAGGACAAACCTGGAATGACCATTCCAGGAGCACCCCCGGCTCCGTGGGGCAGTCACCCTGCCGGGCTGGGGTCCCCAGGGCTCGAGGGGCTCTGAGCAGGGATGGGAAGCACCATGAGTTGAGTGGAAGCAGCGCTGGGTGTCTCCTCGTGCAGCAATCCTGAGCGGGGCAGGGCGGTGGGAGCACCCCGGGGTGGCTCTGGGGGGACTCAGAGCAGCTCCAAGTGCCACTCCCAGCACCCCTGGGACTGTCCCTGCCACCCTCCCTCGGCCTCTCCTCTGCCTGGAGTGGGACAAGAACGGGAAGGGGGAGCAGACGCTGCTTTGTGAGCACAACCCGAGCGAGGAGCAGCACCCTGGCCACGGGGAAAGAGCTTCCCCTGAGCTGCAAGGGCAGCCCAGCAGAGAAGGAAAATCCAGGGTTTGCCAGGGGAGATGGATGAGATGGAAGCCAATGACCACGGGCAGTAAATCCACCCTGGACCTGCCAAGGGTGACACCCCAGGGTGAAGGGGCAGGAGCAGCACCCCCTCCYGGGTGAGTCCATCACGGAATCACAACAGTTGGGGTTGGGAAGCACCTTTAAAGGTCATTGAGCCCGACCCCGAAGAAGGAGGCTGAAGAGTGACCCCAAAAGAGCTCTCAGAAGGAAACCTGTAGGGACACGGCCCAGGAACAATGCCCCAACTGGAGAAGTTTCCAGCTGGGATGGAAGAGCAGCTCAGSCTGGAAATCTTTCCACATCCAGGCTGAGATTGAACAAACGACTTCCTCAAGGATTAAATCTGAGAGAAGAAAGAGGAGAGTGACTCAAGGACCCAGAGCTGGGCGAGTTTCACACCCCATCAGTCCTGGGGTTTGGAATCTCTGCATTCATCGAGTGAATCCATCCAGGAGTCAGTGATGTCACCTCCCTGCCCGTGGGGGTGATCCCAGACTGAGCCCAGACTCAGACCCTACAAGATCAGGCTGATCCTAGTGAATCCTGGCACAGGGGGAACCCCACTGCCAAACYGGAGCCAAACCCCGGCCAGGAGCAGGGGAGCACAAAGTGGAAGATAAAAATGCTCTCCCCATGAGGGAGGAAGGMAGGAAAAGAGATGGAAGCACAAGAACTTGGCTCTGGCCGAGGAGACACAAATCCCGCTGAGAGAAGGAGATGCAGATGATGCTCAGTCCCAAAATGTCGGGGACAGGGAGGATTTGCTGCGTTCCCGTTGCTCCCCTAAAAAGTTGCTTCCCCTTCTCCTCTCTCCAGCTGCATCCAAAGCGAACCGAGAGGTGAAGATGTCCCCAGACTGATCCACACCTTCCTGCAGGGATGGCCTCGTTTGTCCCAAACCAAGGGGTGATGGAGCCCCACACCCCATTATCCCTCAGGCTTGGATTATCCTCAGCAATGTTTTCCAACTCTCTCCATCCTCAGAGAAGTCCCCACGGCCCTGGCTGAGGGGAGAAGAAGAAAAATTGCTGTTGAGTGACTCAACTGCAGCAAATCCCAAATTCTGGGATTACTTTGGGTCCCAAATTCTGGTCACTGGGTCCCGGGGGACTGGGCCTGGCGGGCCAGAGGTGGCAAATCCCCCAAAATAAAGGAAGATCCCACACAAATCTTGCTCCTCCTCATGAATTCATGACATTCATTCAATGTCATGAATAATGACATTCAGCAGCAGGGACAGGTTTTCCTCAGGAAGTTCCATTTTTTTTTTGGCTCTGAGATGCGTTTGTGCTTCCTGGCGAGTCCCTGGCTGGCGGAAGGATGTGGGAACGCAGGAGGAATCCTTGGGGTTTTGGAATTGCTTGGCTTTGATTGCTGCAGAGGATTTTCAGTTATTGCAAACAGGTTCCAGCAGCGGGGTCACGGCTGTGGGTCAGATCCTGGATCAGATCCCAGCAGCTCCAAGGTTCCCCTTCAGCCAGGTGAAGTGCAGACAGAGGAGTGAAAAAACCCAGCCAGGGGTTGGACTCAATGATCCTGAAGGTCCCTTCCAACTCAGGATGTTCCACAATTCCACGATTTTCAGCTGAGCTCGCCCCAGATATGGCAAAGCAACCAAAAATCGGGGAGGGGAAGACAAAACCAGGAATTTCTTGGCAAAAACATCTCCCAGCTCAGCAATGCCGAGGCGCCGATCCCAAACTGCTCAGCGCTGCTCTGAGGGGTGTCCAGGCACCCTCTGGAAGCACAATTTGGGAATCTCCAGCAGGAGCAGTCACAGTGCAGRGTTGGGATGGGGGAAGACACCAGAAAGGTGGAGCAGCTCCGGGTGATGCCGGGTGGGAATGGCGGGCACCGACCTGGCAGCAGGGAAGGCTGATGGGTGCTCAGGGAGCCTGGATCCCTTCCCAGGAATCCTAAAGATTTCCCAGGAGCCCCWAAGATTCATTCCTGGGTCTGGTTTGCTCCGGCCTCCCCAGATGGCACCTGGAGAGTCCCAGAGCCCGAAATGCCAGGGGTGACAGGAGGGGTGAAATGCCGGGGTTGTGCTGCCTGTCCCAAGGCTGGGCACCACAGCAGTGACCACAGGTGACCCCAGGGACAGAAGGGCTTTGCTCTCCCACAACAGGCAGGTGACAAATTCCTCTTGCAGGGCTCCGAGGGGCTATGGGATCAGAGATGGAAACATCCCGAAGATCAGCAAGTCCCGCTGTGAGGAGACACCGCCCTGAGCCCTCAGCTCAGCCTGGCTCCACAGAAACCACTCCTCAAATGCTGGGTGCAAAGCATCATTCCCACCAGGATCTGTCCCTCCCTGTCATCCAGAGGGTGCTGGRTGCCAGCAGGGTGGCACAGGTGACACGGGTGGCACAGGTGGCACAGGCCTCGAGCAGCGGTGCCAAGCACAGGGTTCCATGGGTCGATTCCTTCTCCAGCCCGAATCTCCTCAGGTACCAAATGGCCAGGAAAGGGATGGCAGYCAGGTTCTTCAGGGTCTCCGTGGCTCCAAGGGGCACCAAACCCTGCTCCTTCTGCAGGAAAGGATCCCATAAAACCAGGTGGTGAAAAGCTTCTACTCGGATGCTTCTGCTCCGATTTCCTCCTCTCTCTCAGTGGAGATACAAACGATGGGGGAGAGGTAATTAGGAAATTAATTAAGGCCRCTGCCCCTCCAGCAATGGCTCATTCACAGTCTCAGAGGCACCAGTATACTGCTGAGTGGTGGAGAAGCAGCTAGAGCTGCCCAAGTCCCAGCTGTAAAACATCTGGGTGACACTGTGCTCCTGGATTCCAGGACGTGCTCCACGTTCAGCTCCCCCAGGAGCTCCTGGATGTTCCTCAGCTCTTGCCCTCCTGGCGTTCCTGCCCTTCTCCAGCTTTTCCTTGTGCTGCCAGTCCCACACACAGGCAGAAATCAGCCCAAAATGCCCCCAGTTCCCAGGGATTTCAGTCCCTGCCAGTGGATAAGGAGGCAAAGGCAGAGCCCCGGAGCTCCCGTGGAAGACGCGCTCGGGAATCGACAAAACAACAGCACCTGGTCTGAAACGTGCCCAAAGATCACCCGGGATGGGGCAGAAACTGAACCCTGCACAGGGCAGGGGCTGCTGCAGCCCTCAGCCCTCTCTGAATGCTCCCAACCCTCCTGGATCCAGGCACAGGGGGCACAGGGGGCACAGGAGGCACAGGGGACACAGGCGGCACAGGGGGCACAGGGGGCACAGGGGGCACAGGGATCTCACTGCCCCCAAACCCAGGAGCTGAGCAGCTCCCTGTGACCCCGGGATGCTCCTGCCAGTGCCCGATTGCTGCAGAGGAGACTCACCAGGGAGCACCAGAAGGGATTTAAGGACACAGYGCTGCCCTCAGAGCACCAGGGCCAGCAGGGAGGTGTTTCCCAAAGCCTCAAGGTGATTTTTTTCCAGTCATTTTGCTGTTGCAATCCCCTTTCCACTGCAGGTTCCTTTACTGATGCTTGGCCCAGCTTGAACCCAGACCAGCCTGATTTCCACTCAAAAAGATCCTCCTCCTCCTCCTCACTTTGTGCACCTGAATAAATAAATTTTTACAGGTTTATTGTGCATTGGACAACCTAAAAATGAAGGAAATAAAGTATAGGGAACTGAAAGTTCTCATCACAGCTGGGTAAAATCAGCCCTTCCTGCACACAGGACACAGAGTCACACCACGGTCCCTGCCCAGGGGGGGACAGTGGCAGCACAGGCAGCCAGCTCGGGGTRTTTTTGTGAACTACCATGGAAGAACCTGCCCAAAAGCAAAGGAGCACAAAAGCCAAATGCACCTTGGCAAGCCACAGGCACGGCCACGCCAGGGCTGAGGACACACGAACAAACCCAGCGAACCGAGCAGGCCCTGCAGCAGCACAAAACACCAAAATCACCCTCCCCATGCTGGGAGAGATCTGCACCCACAGCACTGAGCACACCCTGCACTGCCCGAGAGGCCAGGGAGTGACCAGACCCAAATTCACAGTGACCTGAGCGCCAGCAGCGCCCCAGATGGCCCAGGGATGCAGGGAAGGAGTTGGGATGGGGCAGGACCTGGATTTCTCCTGTGCCTGCTGGGCTGGGCCTGCCCAGGCTGCTCCAGAGGGGAGCACCRAGCCCTCGTTAGTCACAAACTCAATTAAAACCCACTCCGGTAAACAGAGCCTGGCTCAGTCCAAATCACAACCCAGGGAGAATTCCTTCCCCCATCACTCCCCCTGCTCCCAACCGAAAGGATTTTGGGATATGAACACAGGCAGGGCAATAAATAATCTGCAGACCTTGAAGAACTGGGTTTGGCTTGGCCAAACCCCCAAAAATCAGCACCAAGGATTCAAACCAGAGGCACAGTTCTGACGGACAAAATAGCACCGAGGAGGCTCTTTTACATCTCTGCTGGTGTGCCAGTCCTTTAGTATTCAGAGAATTTAATAATAAGAAGAACTTGTATTTATGAGTCTAGGTGGAATAAAATAAGTCAAAATTGTTTTCACTTTAAAAAAAAGATAAATACTTCATCTAAACTATCAACAATACAAACTGGAGCTTTAAGCATTTCTTTCGCCTTTTTTTTGCCATTTTTTTTCTCTTTTTTTTTGTTTTTTTTTTTGAAACTCAGATTCACAGTAAATATTTGCTCTGTTGTTTAGGTCTGGTTTTTGTTTTTTCTTTCACGGTTTTTATTTTGTCCAGTAGTAAGAGAGTAGAAACCCCTGCACAGGCCAGGTGAGCACCTTTCAGTGGAAGCCGAGTGAAGTTGGTCCACGTTGTCCTTGCATAGGTCACATTGGGTTGAGGTAGAAATCCTAGTTACCTGCGTGACAGGAGGAGAGGAAGAGACTCATCTAAATAAAAAGGCAAAAATCTGCTGTGGTTTAGATGTGTCAGTCATTCCTACAGCGCTCCCAGAGCTCCTCAGGCGGTCCCATCCCAATCCCAAAGAGGGAAGGATGGATGTTCCAACAGACACGTGGCCCCTCCAAATCCTGCAGTGTTTGAAGCTGTGATTCTGTTGAATTCTGTCCTACGGGGCTTGGACACCAYGTGAGGGGGAAAAAATAAATTAAAAAARGTMTTTCCCCCRCTCAGTAATTCAACTTTTTCTAGCATGAGTTAATCTGTGTTGAGTTTTGTAATTACTATTATTTGTTATTATTGTGGGGGAGGGAYTTTATGGATTATGGAAAGGTTTGGGTTGGGAGGGACCTTAAAGATCATCCAGTGCCACCCCTGCCATGGCAGGGACACCTCCCACTGTCCCAGSSWGCTCCCAGCCCCAATGTCCAGCCTGGCCTTGGGCACTGCCAGGGATCCAGGGGCAGCCACAGCTGCTCTGGGAATTCCATCCCAGCCCCTCCCCATCCTCACAGTGGGGAATTCCTGCCCAATATCCCATCTAAATTCTACTTTTTCACTGGGAAGCCATTCCCTGTGTCCTGTCCCTCCAGCCCTTGKCCCCAGTCCCTCTCCAGCTCTCCTGGAGCCCCTTCAGGCCCCAAAAGGGGCTCTGAGCTCTCCCTGGATCCTTCTCCTGTCCAGGKGAGCACCCCCAGCTCTCCCAGCCTGGCCCCACAGGACACAAGCCCAGCAGGGTATTTGAGCCCCCAATTCCTGGCTGCAGCCCTGAACTCATCCATTCACACCAAAATCATGGAACTGCTCTAAAACCTGTCCCGTGCTCGAGTCAGGGGCTTTGGGATCACAACCACCTCARTCCATTCTGTCTCTGTGCTCCCAGCTCTGTCACCCAGCTGCTCTCCTCCTCACGTCACCTTTGTGCCTTGGCAGAGAATTTCCCAGTGACAGGGACTGTCACACCTGATTGATCCTCCACCTCAGGTCCAGGGAACTCCAGCAGAGGTTCTCACACTGCTCTCACTGCCCAGACCCCAAATTGAGCCTCCTCACCATCCCCATCCTCCTCTTCCTTCCCCAGCCGCTCTCTGCTCAGGGTTCTCCAAGCCCTTTCCTGCAGTGGGGAATCCTGGCCATACTCACGTTCCTCCCCCAAAGGAGGGCTTTGGGGTGTCCTGACGAAGGTTTTGGGGTGTCTGAGGAGGAACTGGGTGATGAACATGCTACACACAACGCACAGAGGCTCTCTCAGGGCTGTTGCAATCAAGTTTTATGAGCAGCAAAGCGAGTTCAGCCACGTTTGTGGCTTTAGTACCGGTGCACAGCACAACATCAAGAACCCAGGAGGAAAGCACGGAGCAGGATTTGCCCCAGGGGGTTTGCAGGAAGCACAGTACCCAGCTCTGGGGTGGTACAGTTTATTCTGGAGTCGCTCTAGAGACAGTTCCATCAATTCCTGCTCGGGATGAACACACCCAGRGCCTGCAGAGCCCGCTGTCCCTGCACTCCCAGAGCTCAGGAGCACAAATAAAACACCTGCTGAGCCTGCTGCCAGCCCTGCATCACTGAAAACACAACCACAGGTAGCACAGAAGGGCTGGCACTGCCCTGTCACCTCCCCGTGCTGCCCTATGCACTGCAGGAGCGGGGAATTTGCTCTCCAAGCAAAAGTCAGAACCTGGAGATTTTTAACTTAGTGCCTGCTTAGAGCAGCTGCTGTTGACTGGCAGTAAAATCAAGGCCAYCACGTTGTCACACAGAGTCACCTTTGGGCACCCAGCAAGGGTTGGTTTGGGATTAAGGGGCAGAGCAGGAGGGCAGGGGGATCCAAAAGGCAACACCCACTTCCAACAACGCTAAAAAAACCATAGGACAAACGGACATTTCCTCCTGTCACCACCTCCAGACAGAACACTCGCTCTTCCTCCAGAGATCTCAATCTGAACCAACCCTGAGGCACRGCAGAGTCACCCCTGGGAGTGCTCCTTGTCGAGAAATCCTGACTCCCAGAGCAGAGAGCATCAACATCCTCCACCCTTTGCCACCGCCTTTTGTTTCCCACATTTGAGAGTTCATTCCCCACATTTCAGAGGTCTCTCTCCATTTTAGAGGCTTCTCTCACCATTTTAGAGGTTTCTCTCTCAATTTTAGAGGTTTTTCTCTCCATTTTAGAGGTCTTTGCCCATTTCAGAGTTCTCTCTCCCCATTTTAGAGATTTCTCTCCCCTTTTCAGGGATTTCTCTCCCCATTTCAGAGATTTCTCTCTCCATTTCAGAGATTTCTCTCTCCATTTCAGAGATTTCTCTCTCCGTTTCAGAGATTTCTCTCTCCGTTTCTGAGATTTCTCTCTCCGTTTCTGAGATTTCTCTCCCCATTTTAGAGATTGCTCTGCCAATTTCAGAGGTCACTGCCCATTTCAGAGATTTCTTTCTCCATTTCTCTCTGCCCATTTTAGAGATTTCTCCCCCCATTTCAGAGATTTCTCTCCCCATTTCAGAGGTCTCTCTGTACATTTTAGAGATTTCTCTCTCCATTTCTCTCTGCCCATTTTAGAGATTTCTCTCTGCCCATTTCAGAGGTCCCTCTCGTCATTTCAGAGATTTCTCTCCCCATTTCAGAGGTTTCTCTGCCCGTTTTAGAGATTTTCTCCCCATTTCAGAGATTTCTCTGTCCATTTCAGAGATTTCTCTCTCCATTTCAGAGGTCTCTCTGCCCATTTCAGAGAATTCTCTCTGCCCATTTCTTTCTGCCCTTTTGAGATTTCTCTCTCCATTTTAGAGATTTCTCTCTCCATTTCAGAGATTTCTCTGCCCATTTCAGAGATTTCTCTCCCCATTTCAGAGATTTCTCTGCCTATTTCAGAGGTCCCTCTCCCCATTTCAGAGATTTCTCTGCCCATTTCAGAGATTTCTCTCCCCATTTCAGCAGTTTCCGTTTGGCAGAGCCCGGCCCCGACCTCTCTCTGCAAAGGAAGAAGCGTCAGTGAGCATCTCGCACGCAAACTCCTCCGCTTTAGTGTCCGGCCTTACCTTACAAAACAAGACCCGTTAGCTAAGCAAGCTCTTTATCGTGGCTTAACCCCCGAAAGGTGCGAAGCATAAGGAGGCTGCATGCCAAGGGTCACCCACATAGCGGCCGTGCCAGCGGCGTTGGGCTGCGGGAGCACGCGGGGCAGGGGCGGGTGGTGGACGGTGAAGGAGGGGCGGGAGGGTTTGTGCTGCTGCAGAGAAGCCAGTTTAATAGACAAAGCAGAGTTAGACTGGACAGGAGCAGAGGAGGAGGAGGATGAGGAGGAAGAGGAGGAGGAGGAGGGCAGGAACGTCTCGCCGGGAGGGATGGAGGGCAGGTTCTGCAGGAGAGCAGGCTCGGAGTTAGAAGCGAGTAAAGGAGGAGGGGGAGGCAAGGACACGTTGGGAGGGGGCGGAGGGGGGTGGAAGACAGATTGCACTGGTGCTCTGTTGAGGTGCTGAGCAGGTCTAGTCTCACTAGAAGTTACTAAATTAGAGGAAGAGGGTGGGAAGGATGAGGATGAGGTGCTGGCAACAGCCTGCAGAGGGTTTAAGCTTAGCACGGTGCTGCTAGAGACAGCACTGCTGCTGAAACTGGCTCCGAATTGATGAGGAGAGGAGGCAGAAGGCACCGCGTGGTTAAAAATACCTGCAAACAGGAGAGAAAAACTCAGCTTCAACAGATGGGCTTTGTACAGTCTCGAGTGACAAGAGAAACAAAACAAAAAAAAAAGCAAAAATAAACAAAAAATAGCAAAAACAAACAAACAAACAAAATTAAAAAGCAAAATTATAATAGTTACAGCCCCATACAAAAATATGCAGCGTGAGAAGGCAGCAAGCAATGAGAGATAATGGTGCAGGCCAGGAGGTACAAAAGGTTCCACTTACCTTTCCTACTGCCAACCTCTAAATGGCACGAGGGAAAATGGTCAGACCCAAGAACTGCCAGTTCTATAGCACACGGGCAGAGTTTGGAGGAGATTAGAAGTGGTCTTTAGAGTTGGTWATCTGGAGGCTCAAAGTGCTGCTCCTCCCTCCCCAGCCTCCTGCTCCCCCACTTACAGGGCAGCAGAGGGGAGGTGCAATTCCAGCAAATCTACGTGCTGAGAGATGGGAGAGTTAGGATTTCCCGACATGGTGCCTGAATGGTTATGGGCAGGGAAGAGAAGCTGTCCTGGACCCTTAGAACGGCAGGCTCAGCCTATCTTCTAGTCCTGCCAGCTTGTCCCCAAGGCTACGAGGCCAAACCCGTGCAGAATCCCACAGTGCAAGGTGCATATGGCATTGCTCTCCTGGCCAAGGAATGTTCTTCGTGTCCATTCAAGGGCCAGAGYGCTACACAACTCCCAACACCAGCTCCTCTGACGTTCTGCTCCTCCTGGGTCACGCTAAATCCATCCAAGGCCTAATCTCAACCTTTGCTCAAGTTGACAAGTGAGAGATCCTTAACACGGCACCAGGAGAAGCGAAATCTGGTTTGTTACCTGCAGGCAGACCTAAGGTGGTTCCAACACAGCAACAAGCAAACATTACCAATCACAAAGGCTGGCTGTATGGTTTCATTAGGGCGGTACAACAAGCTCATCTAGCAGACAAAGCTGATGAGATTTCACTGTGGGGAACTGAACTCATCCTAGCAATTCCGAGAGAGACAGAGAGAGAGAGACAGAGAGAGACAGAGAGAGAGGAGACTGGTTATGTGGGACAGATCTGCTTCACATCCTGCAGAAACGAAAGAGTTTCACCCCTGGAGAGGCAGAGTCAGACTTTCCTTGAGGCCCTGTCTTATACCAGAGAAAGAGTTCTGCCTACCTCCAACTGTTCCACCTGTAACCCCAGGAGAGAAGTTCCCCATAGTGTGAGAATTAGTCAGTCTGGTTGCAGCTGATGACACGTGGACCAGACTGGCAGCAGCTGGCATTGAGTTAAATAAGGACTGCAATACTGAGGAATTTGTCACCGAGTTGAGGTTTGCTTGCAAGGCCATGGGGCCGAGGGGGAACTGCGATCCAGTGGTCAGAGTGTTGAGGAAAGGGTGGTGCGTCGGGACAGACGGAGCGGGGGTCCCTGCTGAGGAAACAGCAGGAGAAAGGCTTTTACCGTTCAGAAGGCCACCAGACGAAACAGCAGCAGAAATGAAAAGGTTGTGGCCGTTTTTAAACTCCACGTCCCGGTCCCTCGCCTTGCCGGCCTTCCCGTTGTGCTGCAGCGAGTTTTTCTCCGCGGCTCCCCCTGCTCGGGCGCTCAGCTCGCCCAGCTCTTTGCCTTTCCCCCCCGGCCGGCTCAGCTCCTCTCCCTTGGCGCCCAGACCTTCCAGCTGCCTCTTGTTCAGGAACAGGTTGGTGTCCGAGACGCCCAGCTCCTTGGCTCGCTGCGGGGGGAAGCCCAGGGAGCAGTTGGGAGCTGTGGAATCCGTGGCTTTGTGAGGGAGAGCGGCGCCGTCCATGAAGCCGTGCAGGCCCAGCTCGGAGGACAGGCCCCCGTTGTAGGTGAAGCCATTTGGGGGGTTTGTGCCGGGGCTCATCCCATCCGAGGGCACGGCCAGACCCTTCCTGCCGTGTCCAGGGACCTTGGTGTCGGCGGGCAGCCCGTCCTCGGGGGCAGGCCTGAAGGAGAACAGCGAGTTCTGGCTCAGAGCYGACGCGGCCTGCAAGGGGCTGTCGGTGGTTTTGGTCAGGTTGATGTCGGATATYGGTGAAAAAGTCGATTTCCATTTGCTGCTGTTGATGCTGTCGTTGCTTTGTGCTTGTTTCCTCCCCGGTAAGCTGCCACCTGGGTTGGGGGGAGGTTTATAAATATCAGCAAACAGCTTTTACTAAATCTGCCCCCTGAGAACGGGGGTTTAGAGAATCAGAGTCCTTAAGG